AAACTTTCTATTTGTTAGTATGCGCATTAAAACTTGAAAGAAAACGTTTTACAGCTTTTTTCATATAGCATTTACTAATGTATCTGCTAGTTTTGAACTACGGTTTAATTTAGAATGTAGCGAAAATTTCTTTTTAAATATAATAAATCTTTTTTGTAAAGGTAAAAATGTGGTATTAGAAACAAGACAGAGTGGAATTTAGGTTGACTACAATCGAGTTTCGTTGAAAAATAATTGAATTCTTCACATAAAGTAACCAAAAAATGTTGTAATGAAATGGTTTTTTTCCTTTTTTTAGACTGCAGTTGTTGAAATATAAATGTTCTTTGCTGGATTTTATTGAAAGCAACACTCTTTATATGTTAGTATGCGCTTTAAAACTTAAAAGAAAACGTCTTACAGCTTTTGTTATATAGCATTGCTTTATGTATCTGCTAGTTTTGAACTACGGTTTAATTCAGAAAGTAGCAAAAATTTCTTTTTAAATATATTAAATCTTTTTTGTAAAGTTAAACATGTGCTATTAGAAACAAGACAGAATAGATGTCAGGTTTGCTACAATCGAGTTTCGTTGAAAAAGAATAGAGTTCTTCACGTAAAGTAACCCAAAAATGTTCTAATAAAATGATTTTATTCCATTCTTGGGTCTGCAGTTGTTGAAATATAAACGTTATTTGCTGGATTTTATTGAACGTTGCACTTTATATATGTTAGTATGAGCATTAAAACTTGAAAGAAAACGTTTTACTGCTTTTGTTATATAGCATTTCTCTATGTATCTGATAGTTTTAAACTACGGTCTATTTCTTAAAGCAGCAAAAATTTTTCTTTAATATATTGAAAAATTTTTAGTGACTGTAAAATGTGCTATTAGATAAAAGACAGAATGAATTTCAAGGTTACTACTATCGAGTTTCGTTGAAAAATAATTAAATTCTTCACATATAGTAACCAAAAAATGTAATGAAATGGTTTTTTTCCTTTTTTAAGACTGCAGTTGTAGAAATATAAATGTTCTTTGCTAGATTTTATTAACCGTTACACTTTTTATTCGTTAGTATGAGCTTTAAAACTTAAAAAAAAATGTTTTACAGATTTTGTTGTATAGCATTTTTTTATGTATCTGATAGTTTTGGACTACGGTTTAATTCAGAAAGCAGCGAAAATTTTTCCTAAATATACTGAAAAATTTATAGTGACGGTAAAATGTGCGATTAGTAACAAGTCAGAATGGACTTCTGGTTGACCACAATCGAGTTTCGTTGAAAAAGAATTGGATTCTTCACGTAAAGTAACAAAAAAATGTTGAAATAAAATGATATTTTTCCATTCTTTGGACTGCAGTTTTTGAAATATAAATGTTATTTGCTAGATTTTATTGAACGAAACACTTTTTATTTGTTAGTCTACGCTTTAAAACTTTAAAGAAAACGTTTTACAGCTTTTGTTATATAGCATTTTTTGATGTATCTGCAAGCTATGAACAACGGTTTAATACAGAAAGTAGCAAAAATTTCTTTTTAAATATATTAAATCTTTTTTTTAAAGTTAAAAATTTGCTATTAGAAACAAGACAGAATGGATGTCAGGTTGACTACAATCGATTATCGTTGAAAATGGATTGAATTCTTCACGTATAGTAACAAAAAAATGTTTTAATAAAATGATTTTTTTCCATTCTTGGGACTGCAGTTTTTGAAATATAAATGTTATTTGCTGGATTTTATTGAACGTTACAATTTTTTTTTGTTAGTATGCGCTTTAAAACTTAAAAGAAAACGTCTAACAGCTTTTTTTATATAGCATTGCTTTATGTATCTGCTAGTTTTAAACTACGGTTTAATTCAGAAAGCAGTCAAAATTTTTCTTAAATATATTGAAAAATTCATAGTGACATAAAATGTGCTATTAGTAGCAAGACAGAATAGACGTCATGTTGACAACAATCGAGTTTCGTTGCAAAAGAGTAGAGTTCTTCACGTAAAGTAACCCAAAAATGTTGTAATAAAATGATTTTTTTCCGTTCTTTAAACTGCAGTTGTAGAAATATAAATGTTATTTGCTTTATTTTATTAGAACTGAAACCTTCTATTTGTTAGTGTACGCTTTAAAATTTAAAAGAAAACGTTGAACAGCTTTTTTTATATAGCATTTCTTTATGCATCTGCTAGTTTTGAATCACGGTTAAATTCAGAAAGTAGCAAAAATTTTTTTTTTAAATATATTAAATCTTTTTTGTGAAGGTAAATATGTGCTATTAGAAACAAGAGAGAGTGGATTTCAGGTTTACTACATTCGAGTTTCGTTGAAAAAAATTGAGTTCTTCACGTAAAGTAACCAAAAAATGTTGTAATTAAAAGATTTTTTTCCACCCGTTGGACTGCTGTTGTTGAAATATAAATGTTATTTGCTGGATTTTATTGAACGAAACATGTTCGAAAATTTCGCCCCTCAGACTAGATAGCAGCACCTCTCGGCTAGCATGATTAATACGCCGTCTGTTATCGCTGAGAAGAAGACATATCGATGGTTCTTATTGATCAATGGATCACGCCACTTAACGTGTCAATAGTTCATTGGTCCCCTGGGACGCTATCCTCTGCGTGTTACTTTCCTATTGATTGTTTGTCCTCTCTTCCTAGCGTGGAACTCGCTCATTGGTCTATTGTCTTTTTTCCACTTCCTCTCTGTTCCTCTAATTGAACCGAAAAGTAGCGTGATCCGGCACAATCTCTTACGAAGTGAAACAGTGCGGACATATCTTTAACAATCTCTGAAAATTTGTGAATCATCTCATAGTCTCTCATCTCGTTTTTTCCTCAACTAGACCATCTCCATATTTTTTCTCTCACCGTTCCATCTCATCTCTTATCACGCTTTTCCTCATCTAGTCCATCACTTTTTACTCTCTCTCACTAACGGCTTCTCGTGCTACGTACTTCCGGTACACGTGGCGTGATATCCGGTACTCGTGGCGTCGCTTATCTATTACTGCTTGTATAAAATCTATTATACTTTCGCCATCTCTATTTCTTTCTGTTAAAATTTGTTAATAAAATCTTGTT